GATCTGCTGATTCGAGTGAAAAAAATTTAATTCTTTTTAAATAAGATTTTGTATTCAAACTTTATAAATAAATAAATAAAAGCTTGAAGAGAGTTTCTTTTTTATAAAATTTAATGTGACTTAATTTCAGATTAATTAAAACTCGATGTGACCTTTGAATACTATGAAGCTAGTACAAAAATAAGTATAGTTCAACTAGCCTAAACAATTTTTTTTTATAAGGACAATGGTTAGAGGTTAATATGTTAGAAGTGTTAGTGAAAAATATTGAACCCGAACTTAAGAGTGCAAACCAAGAGCTGCCCTTTGAAATAGCAAATGGCCACTAAGTCACGGCACGTGGAATGCACTAGCCTAAACAATTGTATCAATATGATTAGAAAGTGGTTAAGTAACAATAACTCAAACTTGGTTTTACCATATTTCTTTCCTTTTCTTTTTTTTTTTTCAAATAAACTTGGTTTTACCATATTTCAAACAGTCATTTTTCACACATGAGATAACATCTTATTTAAATATATAAATTTATTTTTTAAAATTTAGTTAATATTTTGTATATTTTTAAATAATAAAAACCAAAATTTATAACTACAGCATAATATTAAACTACAGACAAACAAAACCCCATCGAAGCTTACAAGCAATGTACTAAATAGGATAATTTTTTTTAAAAAAAAGTTTTAGTATTTTGCCTTTCCAAAATTATAAATTCAATTTTTCATAAAAAAAATATTCAACAAAAAAAAATTTCATAAAAAAAATATAAAAATTTAACTTGTAGATGCTGAGGTGGCAAAAGAAGAGGCCAGGCCCGTAACCACCGGAGGATATCGGCAAACCCGAACCGGAGGGGACAAAGGAAGATATTTGGAGGGGCGGACGTCGACATGAGCTGAACTCATGGTGCAACGCTTCAAGCGTACTCACTCACGCAAACCTCACGCTCTCCTCTCTCTTTATATTCCTCCTCTTCCTCCTCCAGTTTTCTCTGCAATTCCAACCCACGATTTCCCCTCTCAATCCCTGGTAAGTTTTCTTCATCCAATCTCCAATTCCTTTCTTTTGCTTCTGTAGCTTCATTCTAAGAAAGAAAGTTGGAATTTTTGCTTTGAATTTTGAAGAATTTAAGTTGAGTTGAACTGTTGAAGCAAGGTTTGATATTTGTATTAATCATTGATGCATCAATGGGTTGTTTGGTTGCTGGGGAGGTATAGAGGGGAAATTTGTTGGAATTGGGCTACCAAAATTTTGAATGTTTTAATTTGTTTTTGGAGATTGTTTGATCCTACATTTGTCCCCAAAATGTTGGATTTTTTTTTTTTTTTTAGACAAATTGGTGTGTTTTTACATTGTTTACTTGGATCAAAGGTATACAGCTTCTATTTTGGTTATGGATATTTATTAGTAGCCTACTGGAATGACAATCATGTGACTGTTTCTACTGTCTTGTGGATTTTAGAGGATTTGATCTATGGCGCTGTGTGGATTCTCCCTTGCTCTGAACCCGGAGAGTGTTGACGTAATGCATTTTAATGGGAATTTGTTGACAAGACTGATTAGACCAAGGTGTGTGCAATTGAGTGGGAAGCCCCGTTCTTCTGTAGGGAGTCGGTTCCTAGATGTGCGGTGTTCATTGTCAAGAGAAGCTGTTTCCCCAATGGAATCAGAAGAGAATGCTTCAGCTTCTACATCAATATGTGCAGAAGAAGAATCAGGGCATGTTACTAGGTTCAAGATGACAGATTTTAAGGTTCTTGATTGTGTTAGCATTGGTCTTGGTGGCCGGGTATGAAGAGTATGTTTTATATTAATGATCTATGGAAATGGGTTTTCTTGAAACTCTTTAAATTTATGGGCTTCAACTGCATTCCTGTAGGCAGACGAGGTAGTTTTTGAAGCCATCATGAAGGATTCCAGCAGGTTAGTTTTTGTTTAATCAAGTGATGATTTGTTATAAGGTAACCTGAGTTATTATTATTATTATTATTATTATTTTATTTATTTTTTTTTGCCCAAAGGGTAGTATGAGTTAATTCATGGTGTTGATGATGATGCAGTCCATTGTATAACACAAAAGTTGTGCTTAGACAACTTACTACTGCTCAAGCTCAACGCAGGGGAAGACGAGCTATAGAGGTTTGTGATCTCTTTCTGTCTAATTTTTTAAGATTCCATCTTGTTGTGATAGCTTATATTTGAAATATTCTGCAGGTATTGAAAAAGCTTGTTCGTCGCAGAATCTTGTACCATTCTTATTCAATGCAAGTCTATGGCTATATCTCATCACATACGACTGGCAATCATAGCTCGTTCACCCTTGTTCATGGGGTATGCATCATATCTCCAGTTGCTTTTTGTATTGCTATTCATATCATAAATGTATTTGATTAGATACCATGTGTGGCCTGCCACATGAATTCATTTTTTTTTCCTTGGCTTGTTCCTTTTTCCCCCCCTTCCTTTCCTCCCAAGGTTTCCTCTTAGGAATATTTCTTGTTACCAGGATCAGGAGAGCCTTTCAATGTCCTAAAAAAAGATCTGGCAAATTAGCAAAAGAAAGCAAATTTGAAACTTCTTAGTTTTGAGTGCTTCGTTTATGTTGGCAGTATCATGGTAGCTTTTCGTTAAGACATTGGCTTCAACAGTCAGACTGGCTCCCAACATTAGAAGCTACTCTTGCACTGGATGAAGAGTCTGTTAGGAAGGTGGGAGATGACACAATTGGAGGACCTGAGGTTTCTAGACAGTTGCGGCTTATTCGAATATTGATGAGGGACCTCTTAATTGGAGTATGTTTAGTCATCCTCAGTCAAAAAAACATATGTTTCTCTATCTTTAGTGGGTTTACTTAGATTGTTTGGTTTATTTTTCAGGTTAATTATTTGCACAGCCATGGGCTTGCTCATACAGAGTTGAGGCTGGAAAATGTACATATAAGTCCAGTGGACAGACATATCAAAGTATTTATGCAATTTCCTCTACTGGCATGCTATCACATATTTCAATTTATCCACTACTTTGGTCACCTTGTCTTTGCATAACTTCTAGAACTATCATTTTAGGTAGGAATACTTGGAAACGCCGCTGACTTCTACGAGGATGGTCCTGGTGGAAGTGCACTGGACAGCAACATGGATAGGCGGAAAATGATGATTGCATTTGACATGAGGTATGGTGCAAAGAATAGTAAGCCACCTGACTCTAGTACATCTTTCAATGGCATTCTGAGATCTTGTTGAAGCTAATTCAATTTCATATATGTTGCAAAGATGTGTTGGATTCATGATGGCAAAGATGGTTTTGAGAGAACTTATGGAACCCTCAACCTTTGCAAAGTTTAAATCTTTTCTTACCAAGGTATTTAAGACTTTATGTTTAGTGTTTCTTCTTTATCATCTTCATATGATGCAGGTAGTATGGGTCTTGGACACATATCATGAAATTGAACCTTGGTGAAACTATTGGCATTTATATAGCAACAAATCATGCTTGCCTATATTTTTAGAGACTGCTAGTATATGAGGCATGAAATCTATTTATGAATTCAAACTGCATTTTAACTTTCTCTTTTTTGT